AACCTGGGTCCTCTGGGAAGAACAACAATCAGTGCTCTTACCCACTGAGCCATCTCTCCAGCCCCAGAGGCTATTGTTTATGGGAGATAACAAGCCACATGTTTTCCTTTCCCCTAAACAAGCTTGTTCTACCCATATGCACCAGATGCACTTGATTACATGTGAGCAGGAGGTTCACAGGCTAGAGGTACTTCAGGATGTATTGCTTGCCCCTGATTGGACCTGATGGGAAATGCAATGAATTTTGGGTTTCTTTTCTTTCTTTCTCTTTTCTTTCGTTCTTTCTCTTTCTTTTTGTTGTTTTGTTTTGTTTTTTGTTTTTTGTAGACAGGGTTTCTCTGTGTAGTTTTGGTACTTGTCCTGGAACTCGGTCTGTAGACCAGGCTGGCCTTGAACTCACAGAGATCTTCCTGGCTCTGCCTCCCGAGTGCTGGGATTAAAGGTGTGCGCCACCACCTCCCAGCTTGGGTTTTCTTTCTTAAGCCCTTGCTATACTTGATTCTGGGCCATTTCCCAGGAACCTGGGTACAAATCTGGCCAGTATTTAATTAAAGCTTGCTTCAAATTTAGCTTTAAACTGTGGTAGTGATCTTACTCTCGATCGGTGGCATTAACAATTAGTAGCTTCCTTTGTTTGAGGTCTACAAGGGCAGTGTAAAATAGCATTCCAGAGACAGCCAACTGCTTAATACAGAAAATTCTTAAAATTATTCACAGGAGTCTGGCCATCTCCATTAGCGTTTATGTTGAGGTCCAGCCAATAATCCAACCTGTTTGCATTGTCTGGTCCACACTAAGCAGCAAATAAAGAGACTGTGAAAGTCAATACATATTCACTAAGGAAACAAAAAATTAGGTGGGGCAAACAGTAGTTAACAGTCTGGAATTTGAGGTCATAAATAACTCTCAACTGTCTCCTTGATGGCTAATAGCTGAATGGTCACAGATACTATACTCACTTGACCCATTGGTTAATTACATGAAACAATAGCTCCATTTCAGAGAGTTGTTCTGAATATTGATATGATACGCGCAAAGATAACTGGTAGCTATATTCATCGTTGGAGGCTCTTGGCGGGCATGGTGGTGCACACTTGGAGTCTCAGCCGAGTCGGGTGGGGTGAGGAACGGACATTGCTAGGGGTTTGAGGCTGGTTTGTCTCCATAGCAAGACCTGGTCTCAGAAAACACAGTAATTGAGACATTTGAATTTTTTGTACTTTTACTGACTTTCTGCTTGTTTTATAACAGGTTTCAAACTAGCAATTCTACTGCCTCCACCTCTAAGTGCTGGGATTATAGCTATGTGCCAATACACCCAGCCTTGAAAAATTCTTTGCCGTGCTGGGGATCAAAAGCAGGGTCTCATGCATACTAACCAAATGCTGTACTACTGAGTCCCCAGCCTGGATTTTAAACATTTTATTTTCTAGAACTCCTTGTAACAATCTAAAAGATTTCATGTAGATACTGTTTTGATATTTACAAAGAATAAATTTTTCTTTTCTTTTTCAAAAATTATTACTTTACACGTTATCTTAATCCTATAATTGTAACAGTGGAACAGAAGCCCTGAAAAAGTGAAAATTTCACACACATAAACACACACACACACAAAATCATGTTTAAGAGCTGGGAATGTTGCTTAGTGGTAGAGTACTTGCCTAGCATATACAAAGCCTTAGGTTCAATCCTCAGTGTCTCTTAAATGCTTTCCCAGGAGACGATGGTACAGGAACAGGCTGAAGTCCTGCTGTTCAGAGCTGTCTCCCCAGAAAAGGCATCATTTTACAGTTGTGACAACGTATGGTATGGCTCTACCTACAGAATCTGTTTCCTGGCTTTGCTTTCAAGGCAGAGAGGTGAGAACTTGTACTCTTCGAAGTTCTGGCTCAAACTGTAATAAACTCATTTCTTTGCACCAACTCGTTTTTCGAGTGTGTGTGTTTGTGTAAAACATCTAGCAAGAAACAGACCCGAGACTCAGTAACAATAATTTTTATTATCTCCATTTAACAAGGAAACCCAAATGGAGAGATGTTAAATATTTTCCTTAAGGCACCAAGGATATATTTACTTTGTGTAAATGTCTGTTCAAGATACTACAAAACTAGCTGGGGTACAGCTGGTAGAGTGTTGGTCTAGCTCAAGGAAGCCTGTTGTGGAACATTAATTTAAGATTGTTACATTCACTTATGGCTTATGCTCTGGAGTATTTGTTTAATGATGCAAAGACGTGTTACATTTGTTTGATTAAATAAAATTAACCTGGGGTCAGGAGGCTGAGTCAGCAACTAGCTGACAGGAAGTGGTAGAGAGGAACAATGTGTAGCTAGGGTTCTTAAGTAGGGGCTGAGCAGAAGGACGCCCTATTTTTTGGGAGACACGAGCTAGCAAAGGTTAGCTACTTGCTTTTCAGCCTCTCTGAGCAAGCAGAATTCCATCTCAACCTTTGAATCCTGAGTTCCATAGAGGGATAGAGATCGAGAAAAGTTCTCTTTATCGGCTGTGATAGAGTCAGTGCCTGAGGGAACAGAATTCCCGCCTGGCTAAGGCCAGTGTGGCCAAATCGCTACTGGTAGCTGCGGAGTTGTAACTGCCAATTAGGACAGCAGTTGCTTAAGGGGTAGCTACTGAAGCTCTTGGTTTGATCCCCAGTCCAGTAGAAATGGGCATGGTGGTAAATGCCTGTAATCCCAGCACTGGGGAGGTGGAGGCAGGATGATCAAAGTCATCCCTAGCTATACAGTGAGTTCGAGGCTATCTTGAGCTACATGAAACCCGGTCTCAAAAAATCCAAAACAGCTGGGTGGTGGTGGAACAGCACTCAGGAGGCAAGCAAATCACTGTGAGTGTGAGGCCAGCCTGGTCTACAAAGCGCGTTCTAGGACAGCCAAATATACACAGAGAGATCTTGTCTGGAAAGACCAAAACCAAAATGATGTGAAGAAGGTCCCAGATGAAATTTACATTCTATCCAGGTAGACAGAAAACATGACAACTTAATTATAAACTGTAGTGTTAAGAAGAAAATAGGAGGAGGTTCCTTTAAAGTGGATGGTCAGGAAAGTTTTTGTTTTGTTTTTTTCCTTTCAGGGTCTCTTGTAGCCTAGTCTGGCTTTAACTTGCTAGGTACCTAGGCTGACTCAAACCTTGAGACTGGGATTACGGGCTTGCCCTACTAACCTACCTAAAAGTCTTTTAATATCAGAAATTGGCATAAGTATGAAAGATGAGAATGAGTGAGATATCCAAAGAGTCAAGGGAAAAGAGTTCCACCCAGGCAGATGGTGAATGAGTACAACAGGAAATGGGTGCACAGTGTAAACACCACCTTAGAAACGCTGGAAGCATCGCTAGAAGTGAGAGAAACGCGCTGGGGTTGACTGTAGTAGCAAAACAAGATCACAAGGCCTTAAAAGGATGATAAGGAATTTTGTATTTAATTCCAATAACATTAAAATCATGGGCTGGAGAGATAGTTAAGGGCAGTTAGGAGCACTTCCTGCTTTTCCAGAGGACTTGAGTTCAGTTCCCAGCACCCACATCAGGTGGTTCACAAATGCCTTTAATTCCAGTTCCAGGGGATTCAAAGCCATATTCTGTCCTCCAAGGGGACCACCACACACTTGGAAGACACACACAAACACAAATACTTTTTTTTTTTTTTTGAGACCGGGTCTCTTTGTGTAGCTTTGGCTGTCCTGGAACTCCCTCTGTAGACCAGGCTGGCCTTGAACTCAGAGATCCACCTGCCTCTGCCTCCACCACCCGGCTCATAAATATAAATCTTAAGGCCCACCCCACCCCAAACAAACAAAACAGCCAAGAGGGATAGGTCACTCTTGTCATACTCATACCCAGGAGGCCGAGGCAGTAAAGTCACTGAGGATTCACACAGGGCTAGCCTTAGGTTCAGAATGGCATGTCTAAAAAACAAGATTAAAACTAAGTGACGGACATAACCTGATTGATTCAGAACCTCGTGTAACCCAGAGCAGCCTCAAACTAAATGTACGAGAACGACCTGATCCTTCTGTCTCTGCCCTCAACTGTCTGTAGTTTGCTTTGAAAAGGATACTTCCTGAGTGAACGCAGTTGCAAAGAAGAGAAAAAGAGAAGTAGGGACATTGAAGGAAGTCATTCAGGGAAGAGAATCAAAGCGCTGGAGGAGGGTGGTTGTTGAGGAGACAGCTTGCAACAGACTTGGAAGAGTCAAAGGTTCTGGTTAACAAGTGTCAAAGTGAGAAAAAATAGGGGGGAGGCAAGGGTATAAAGAGTTCCCGTACCTGGTGGTGGCACAGGCCTTGAATCCCAGCATTCAGGAGGCAGAGGCAGGTTGATCTCTGAGTTCGAGGCCAGCCTGGTTTACATAGTGAGTTCCAGGACAGCCAGGGCTACACAGAGAAACCCTGTCTCGAGGTGGGGAAAAGTTCTGGTATGTCCACTTTGTGGGACAGTTTGAGATGTCAGTGAGTCTCCGGAATACTGCAGTTTATCCGTAGACAGTTGACCATAAGTAACTGAGAGGACCGGGGATCTGGACTGTGGAAGCGGGTATTTGGAAGGTCCATGGGCACCTTCCTTTGCACCTGCCGAGCGACATGAGGCTAAACGGCATTTAATATCCCGAGAAACAGAAACGCAGCTCCGAGCACCCACTGCGGCGGGGGAGTCGTCCTAACCGAAACGCAGCTCGGGGCTGCACCCACCGCGGCGGGGGAACCGTTCTTACAGTTCCCCCGGCCGCCACCTACACCTTAATCCGCCCAGTCGTTCGTCACCTCTACGGAAAGCGAGAGGCCTCGGAGGGCGGGCAGGACCCGGCGAACACGGCGGCGTAGGCGTCCCAGGCGCCAGTAACCCACCAGCAGCGCGCTCCGCACGGCGTACGCAGGGCGACGACTCCCTCGCCCGCACCATTTTCTTTTCCCTTCGGCCACGCCCTAGCGCGGCCGCGGTGACGACACGGCGTCCCATGATGCCCTGCGCGCCACGCCGCGCTGCTATTGGCTCCGTAACTCGACTGCTTTTTCAAATTGAGGCGCCGAATCGTTTGCTGGTTCCTGGGCAGAGACCAGCTCGGGGGTTCTGTCTTTCTGGCTGTTGCGGGGCGGTGGCTACGACCAGAAGCTTGCGTGCACCGCGGAGTCGCTGAGCTGCGAGTCTCGGTCCTCCAGGCCGCGGCAGCACCGGACGAGAGGAAGCGGGCGCCCGGTCCCCCACAGCGTCGGAGTCACCGCCACGGCGGCAGGTTTTGGCACCACCGTCATGGCGTCCCAGCCGAGTTCTTCTTCGAAGAAGAAAGAGGAGAAGGGCAAGAACATCCAGGTGGTGGTGAGATGCAGGTAGGCAGAGGCTGGTACGAGCCCAGACGCGGAGGCTTCGCCCTTGGGCTCCCTCCTGCGCCGTTCGCGAGAGCGATTTTTTTGCATTTTCGGAAGGAATCGAAATTACCCGTCCGATAAAAATGGTACCGGGTTAAGCTCTAAATTAGGGTTTGTTTCTGAGGGGAAAGAATGTTCGTGTTGGTTAGAGTTAAGCTTCATTCACGAAGAATTGGATGGTTGCTCTTCACTGAAAAGTGCGTCCCCTTTTTAAAAACCCAGTATCGCCGAAAACTTAGGTGTCGTTGCCTATGCTACTCCATGAAGGGTGTCAGTTTGGGAATAAAGCTTCATATCTACTTTGCAGGTAGTTTGGCTCTTGCCTTGGGGTTATTTCCACTTCGGAAAGAGTAATCACTCGTTTTCTTTATTCTAGATGTAATAGCTTATTCACCTCTAATTAACCAAGTAGACATCACTGAAATTAAGCATTGAAATGCTTAATTATGAAGCTCTCAAACATTTAGGTACCTGTCTGTGGTGCAACATATTGCTCTTTTAAATTTTTTTTTTTTTTTTTTTTTTTTTTTAGTTTTTCGGGACAGGTTTTCTCTATGTAATAGCCCTGACTGTCCTGGAACTGGCCTAGAACTCACAGAGATCCACCTGCCTCTGCCTCCTGAGTGCCACCACCGCCCAGCCATTTTGGTGTTTTTTTTTTTTTTTTTTTTTTTTTTTTTTTTTTTGAGACAGTCTTACTATGTTGCCTAGACTGGCCTCAAACTCTGGCTGTCTACCTGTTTTACCTTTTGAGTCCTGGAGTTACAAGCAATTCAATCTTGAGCTGTCATACCTCGCTGGCCAAGTTTTTAAACTAGGTGTCAGAGAGGAAGTGTGGCAGTGACTTCCAGTCTAGCCAAAGTCACTTAACTGTTGCACTCTAGAGTTTTACTTTAGTTACTTAATTTGGGGATTTATTTTTAATCAACAGGAAAGCAAATGAATTTAGCCAAGCGGTGGTGGTTCCAGCCTTTAATCTCCGCACTCTGGAGGCAGAGGCAGGTAGCTCTCTGAGTTGGAGGACAGCCAGGGCTGCAAAGAGAAACCTGTCTCAATATATATATTGTTTATCTTTAATTATGTATATATGTGTGGGTATGTACATGCATATGCAAGTACCCATGGAGATCAGAAGAAAGCATCATCTCTAGGAGCTGGAGTTACAGGTGGTTGTGAGCCACCAGGTGTGGGGGCTAGAAATAGAACTCCAGTCCTGGAAGAGCAAGAAGTGCTCTTAACCTGAGCTATCTTGCTACCCAACAAATGCACTTTTTTTTTACAGTTATTTTGCTCTTGTTTATTATTATTATTATTGTCATCATCATTATTATTGTTGTTATTGTTATTATTGGACTATTACCTTTTCTGTGTGCTATTATTTCCTTTGTTACTTGCAAAATATTTGAGTTATAAAAAGTTATAAAGAAGACTAACGGTGTGGTGTGGTGGCACAGGCCTTTAATCCCAGCACTCGGGAGGCAGAGGCAGGTGGATCTCTGAGTTTGAGGCCAGCCTGGTCTACAGAGTGAGCTTCAGGATAGCCAGGGCTACATAGAGAAACCCTGTCTTGAACAACAAAAACAAACAAAAGACCACTGTAACAAACATGCTTTTATTTATCACTCAAATTAATAAATAAAATGTCTAATATGTCCTTATTGTCCTCCTACACGTCAAGCCTTGCCTTAAGAGATTTCTTTCACATTTTTTACCAGTGAAAAATATTTACGTTGTTTCTGTCATGTACAGTGATTTTGGCATAGGTTTTTCTTTTTCCTGTCTGGTTACCCTTTTCTCTATCAAGTAGTGTTTCTGGTGCAAATCTGCCATTAATTTTAATAAGCAACATATGAGGCTTTCTCAGGCTGTTGGGTGTTAAATCCAATTTGTCTTGTATCCACATTTGGTGACAGGGTCTCACTACATAGCTTTCTGGCTAGCCTCAAACTCAACTGGCTGTCCAGGCTGAGTTTGAACTCTGTGCAGTCCTCCTGCCTCAGCCTCCTGAGTTACTGTGTGAGCCACCTTGCCTGTCTTTGATGCTGTTGCCTATGTGTTTGGTGTCTTATCCCAGGAATCATTGCTAAAGCCACTGTTGTCAGGCTTTCTGTTCCTTGTTTCTCTAAGTTTCACAGTGTTGGGTCTTAGGTGCAAGTCTTCGGTCCACTTTGAGTTGATATTTTTGTATGTGGTGTTAGGTGAGCATTTGGCTTCATTATTTTGTGTATGGGTACCCAATTTCCCCAGCACCATTTGTTAAAAAGACTGTCCTTTTCCTACTAAATGGTTTTGGCACACTTGTCTAAAATCATCTGGCCTTATATGAGAGCATTCTGTATGTATCATTATGTATGTGGGCATTCTGTTCTACTGGTCAATGTCTGTCTGTCTGTCTATGTCCCTCCCATATAGTTTTGATTACTTAGAGCTTCAGAATGAATATGTTTTAAAATCAAGAAATGTGAGTCTTGCAGGTTTGTTGGGTTTTTGTTTTTAGTCTTTTGTTTTTGGTATCTTTGAAACAGGCTCATTAATTCTAGGTTACCCTCCAGCATGTTGCTCTTCCTGCCTTAGCTTCCCAAGTGTTGAGATTTGCTATAACAGGTTTTAGTAATGTTTTGTAATTTCCATTTTAAAAACCTTTTAACTACCTGACTAAATTAATTTATTCTTGATGTTATTCAAATTGAATTAATTTTGTGATTTTCTTTTAGACTGTTTACTGCTAGTATATATAAGTGCAATTGATTTACATGCTAATTTATGGATCTATACATTTAACTTAAGACCTCTAGACTTGACCCAGAAAATACGTTTTTACCATATTATCCTTCGTAACCTGCCCTGACTGTATCTTGATACTTTGTTGAGTTTATTATTAAAAACATTTTTAATACAAATACTTATTTTCATTATGTGAATTGTGTCTGTATGAATGTATACCATGTGTGTGCCTGCCCAGAAGCCACAAGAGGGCATTGGATTACTTGGAGCTGGAGTTACAGGCTGTTGTGAACCACTAGTCAAGGGTATTGGGAAGCGAACTCGGGTCCTTGTGCACATGTGCCACCACACAGACTTTAGTGGTCCAAGGACAACTCTCAGGAGTTGGTTCTAGCCTCTTACCCTTTGGGTCCCTGGACTTGAACTCAGATTGTCAGATTTGGTGGGAAGTGCCATTTCCCATAGACCTACCTCAGTGGCCCTCAATTTAAGATTTTTGTTTTAGTTTAAAATACAGAGTATAGGGTTTCATCACGGCGTCTTCATATACCTGATATGTGCTTTCCTTGTTAGTTTTCTTCCCCACTGCTCTCTCCTTTAACCCTCCCCATCTCTAGCCGATTCCCTTTCTTCCCCCAATTAGTCCCTGAGTTTAGTTACTAGTCTTGACTTGTATGTATGTGTAATTATTAAGGTTCTCTCCCAGCTACTTAAGAGGCCAAGGCAAGAGGATTGCCTAAGTCCAGGAGTTCAAGATCAACCTAGATGTTCTAGCAGCATGATTCTGTTTCTTAAAAAGAAAAAACGGGCTGGGGATGTAGCTCTCTGTGGGGAAGTATTTACCTAGCATGTGCAAGGCCTTGACCTTGGTCTCCAACACACACACACACACACACACACACACACACACACACACACACACGATAAATATACTTGAACATTCTTCATACTACCTGAGAACAGAGATACTAGTACTTCTTCCTCTCCAGTTTGGAAGTCTATTCTTTTTCTTGCCTAATTACTCATGTTAGAGTTCCAGTTGCTGTGCTGAACAGAAGCGGTGAGAATGGACATACTCTTTGGTTCTTCACTCTTATTCTTTCTCTTCTTTATAAAAAGATTTTTTTTAACTTGTGTGTGTGTGTGTGTGTGTGTGTGTGTGTGTGTGTGTGTGTGTGTGTCTGTCTGTCTGTCTGTCTGTCTGTCTGTATGAGTGAATGCCATGTGCCCTGTGGAGGCCAGAAGAGGGTGTTGGATCTCTTGGAGCTGGAGTCACAGGCAGTTGTGAGCCCTGACGGGGCTGGTGTAAGAATATGAGTCTTTTCTATAAAATACTATAAAACTTGTGTTTAGGACAAGGAATTCAAATCTTTTTCTCTCCCCCGTATATCCCTATAACCCCCAAAGCCTTTGTTTATTCAAAAGTCCCGCTACAATCTAGGATTAAAGTGGTTAGCCCCTTCCCCTTTCATTTCCTCTCAGCTGGTTTTTTGTTTGTTTTTCTAGACAGGGTTTTTCAAAGTAGCCCTTGCTGTCATGGAGTTCTTGCTTTGTAGACCAGGCTGGCCTCAAACTCACAGAGATCCGCCTGACTCTGCCTCCTGAGTGCTGGAACTAAAGGTTTGCACCACTGCCCAGCTAAGCTGATTCTTTTAAAAGTAGCCATTCTTGAAAGGCTGTGAGGTCAGGTCCCAGCCAATGGTAAAAAGACACAGTTTTAGAATAAAATCCAAGTGCACTTCCAGTCTCTTGTGGGTTCACTCTTACAAGTACAACGCAGCACATCCTCTTGATAGGAGTAAAGTTTTACCTTGTCCAGATTCTGGAGTGCTGATCTCTTTGTGACCCCAAACTTAATTTCTGATGCTAGGAGATAAACTCAGGTCCTCTGGAAGAGCAGCAAATGGCCTTAATCATCAACCCATCTTTTTAGTCCCCCACCCTCACCCTTGTTTTTTTGTTTTTTTTTGTTTGTTTGTTTTTCGAGACAGGGTTTCTCTGTGTAGCTTTGCGCCTTTTCCTGGAACTCGCTCTGGAGCCCAACCTGGCCTCGAACTCACAGAGATCCGCCTGGCTCTGCCTCCTGAGTGCTGGGATTAAAGGCGTGCGCCACCACCGCCCGGCAACATTTGGCTTTTATTAGAACTATTTTCCTTCTATTTTTTGCTCATTGAACATTTTTAATGTGAAGTGGTTTTAAATTTTGTCAAAATACTGTTTCTGCATCAGTTAACACG